CTGATCAGCAAGCCTCAAGAGCTTGAACGATGGCCGAAGAAGAAGAGCGGCAGCAGCACCAACCCAATTCGCCTTCCCCAGACGCAGAAATTACAGAACACCCAACCCAGCAACAGCAAGACGGCTACTCTTGGCCGGCGATTCGGTTCGATGTTCATCCGCACAGAGCCTTCCACTTCCGCCACCAGTTCCGAACTTCCCCAATTCCCAACAGCTTTCTCAAGGGCGTCACATGGTAATTCCTTTTGCATCCGCCTTACTTTCCCATGATTTTTTTTTTCATAAATTTGTTGTCTTTTTGTTTGGGGTTTGATTTTTTGTTTCCGGCGTAGGTCGCCGGATGGGTCGTGCTTTCTTACCAGTTCCGAGGACAACACGCTTCGGGTTTTCGCATTGTAAGTTCTCATCGATTGACGGCTTTTGTCTTATTTTTGTATGGATTTTGAGTAGAGCATTGCCGTTTGATTTGGGTTACAATTTGGGGATTTTGTTTCTGACTTTCAGAACTCAAAATGCAGTTCAAAAACCAACCTTTTCGAAAATCGCTGACGGTGGTGTTCGCTAACTCTACTCTTGTTTCGTTTTTATCAGACCAGATTATGGGAGTGAGAATGATCATGGGTGTTCTGTAGCTGCTGATGAAGGTAAGTTCTTGCCCCGAAATATATTTGCTTTGGAGTTTATTGTATGCCAATCTGCCAATAGAAGACTTGTTACCTGAAAGTTTATGGTTGGTATTGTTTGAATGAAAATTTTCGGGGACGAGCTATGTTTGATTGGTTTTGTATTTGCATGTAAGTGTAATCATCTTTTTAGACATTTTATGTTTGTACTCTTAAGCTGCAGATTCGTATGCTGCAAACCTTGTTGTGAACGAGGGAGAGTCTGTATACGACTTCTGTTGGTACCCATACATGTCTGCTTCAGGTACTTTTGTAACTCTTCTAAGGGGGGACAATTTGTTAAGTTTATTCTTTATTGTGACGATGAGAACCTGAACTTGATATTCAGGTTATTTACTTTAGAGTGGCTGATATGATTCTGTAAGCTAAAGCTTGATTTGGAATTTTCTACGACATTGCAGACCCGGTTACCTGTGTTTTTGCAACTACATCTCGTGACCATCCCATTCATCTTTGGGATGCTTCTTCTGGACAGGTGCTGGCTCATTATTACAAATCTAGATCACTCTTTTCCCATGTGTACACAGCTCTTCTATGTATTTTTTGGTTTAATGTTTGTATATCTTATTACACCATTGGTATTGGGCTGAAATTGCAGCTACGTTGCACTTATCGTGCTTATGATGCTGTGGATGAAATCACGGCTGCTTTTTCAATTGCCTTTCCTTTTCAATATTCTACTGGAACAAAGTAAGCAATATTCTTTTCCTTTCCTTTTCAAAGGTTATATAATTCAATTGCATGTTTTCTACTTCGTTTTTATGTGACTTCAATTGTTTTGTAGGATTTTTGCTGGATACAACAAATCCGTTCGGGTGTTTGATTTACATAACCCTGGTAGGGATTTTGAACAATATTCGACACTTCAAGGAAACAAAGAAGGCCAAACGGGTACATGTTATCAATTTATCTCTAATTTCTGATGATAAATTACGAAGATGTGCAAGTGCACATTTCTCAACGTTTTTATTGTGGACAGGTATAGTGTCCGCAATGTCTTTTTGTCCAACCCATAGTGGAATGCTTGCTATAGGTTCTTACAGCAAAACTGCTGCAATATATAGCGAAGATAATATGGAACCCTTGTATGTATTGCATGGTCATGAAGGTGGGATTACACATGTAAGTCATCATTCCTTATTGTGCATTTCACTTTGATCATAACTTCAACAGATGAACCGAAGCTTTTGCTTTCAGGTCCAGTTTTCAAAGGATGGAAATTATTTATATACTGGAGCCCGAAAGGTAAATGCTTTTACATGCTCCATCATTTTTTGTTTTAATTTTTTCTGTCTCTCCGTTATTTAATGGATATACGGTAAACCAGTTCTATGTAAAAACTGTCAGTTTATAGTGTGACTTATTCTTCACATGGAAATTTATTAACGTATTATATGTAATATATTAGCATTTGTGATCTTGCATTCGATTCTAAATGTGATTGACTTTGGCTTCCATAAATTACTCGAAGGATCCTTATATATTATGCTGGGATATACGCAAAGCAGTTGATGTTGTGTACAAGTAAGATATTTTTTCTTTCCTTCTTTAGTGGTTTAGTTTAGAAAGATATATAGTTTTTTGTACATTGGAGGTCTCTTCTGCTCATGTTACTTTATTTGCCCCTGGAATCAGGTTATATAGGTCATCGGAAGATACCAACCAACGGATTTTGTTTGATATTGAGCCACTTGGACGCCATCTTTGTACAGGTGGTCAGGTACCGTCTTACCTTTGAATTATGTTTCAGTGTCCAAATATGATGCCATAAACCAAGTCAAAACTCCAAACCCCATTTCGGATGTAATGAAACAACTTTTTTAATCGTGTATATGTGTTTTAGGACGGTGTTGTGCATATCTATGATCTGCAAACTGGACAATGGGTATCAGGCTTCCAAGCGGCATTGGGTAATTCATTTCATATCCTATGAAAATTGTTAAAGTGCTACTGCAATAAACCTTAGTCTCTTCTTTTGCTGACTCATTCTTCTGTTCTATACACCACACAGATACTGTTAATGGAATCTCCTTTCATCCCTTTCTGCCAATGGCTACCACTTCTTCAGGGCATCGAAGATTTGTTGATCCTGATGGTGGCAATGACAAATTGCATCTGAGTGGTACCTCCTATAACCCTAATGCCTTTCGGAGATACTTCTGACAAATCACATTGTATATCCTTCCAATTTTAGTCTCCTACATAAATCATGTTTGTTTCTGTTCGTGTCATTTTCTCCACTCTTTTTTTCCCAATCTGCATCTTGTCCTTGTTCCGTTGAACTTGTCGTGGTGTTATGTCCCCCAGTCTTCTCAGGCACTTTAGATTGCATGAAGCTACATGATATGACTTGTTAAAAGAATGAAGTTTGTCATTAGCTCCTAAGCCGGTTTATCTGAGCTGCATGCGTAATTTTCTCTGGATAACATAAGAAAGGGTCAGTGATTCACTGTACTAATAGAAGGTTAATTGTCCCGTGATATGCAGGTGATGAAAACTGTGCTTCTGTGTGGAGTTTCTCTGTTGCTTCAATGGTGGAGAATGATGGTGCAATGGACGGTGATGATTATAACAGCCACAACCTTGACCAGCATCCCTAGACAAACAGCCATGGCGAGCCTTCGTTATGTAAAGATCGATGGAGATGTGTGCATCATTTGCCTAATTGTTGTACATTAATTGAATTAGAAGGTTATGAACAAGATCAGTCAAATAGGAAATGACTTCATGCATCGACTTGTAAAAGTACAACCCAAATATTTGAGCTCAATTTTTATGGTATACGGGAAACGACGAGTTTTACAAATCCTCTTTTTTTTTTTCGTCTTCAACTTTCAGAGGAAAAGTGAGATCGAAGTGAGTTTCAGTGGGTGTTTCGAAAAATAAGCTTTTAAAAAAATAAAAAAAAAGAACGAGCTGGTGACTTAGCTACGATAATTTTCTTACAGACATTTTAATATCTCTTGGCTATCATCATATGATTCATGAGCATCAGAAATCAAACTAGAACGTACATTATGGAATACGGGTATGAAATTCGTCCCTAACTATTAAGCTATCCCATGATAACTCAGTGTAACAACGGCCTCAAATCTAGTTTCTGATTCTCAAATTTACCAAATGTAAGCAGACTAATTGTTATTCCCTTGTGGCATTTTCGTCTTCGACGGAAAATGACATGCTTTGCTATCTCCCGACTTTTTTGGCCTCCTCAAATCTTGCTAGTTACTTCTAACTCAAACACTCCTCGTGACACAATGATAGCGATTTAAAAACTACGGATTTCTAACTTCGTATGCATTTCTTTTGATCTAAACGAGTCATTAGCTCGATACGAAATGACATAAAAATAGCAGGTTTCTAATTTACCAATTCACGAGTTGGATTGATATCATATCATTCGTTAAGAACCAATAAGATATCGTTTGTCACATCTAGCCATCATGTTTAACAATTTTTTGCATGACCAGTTAACCTGATACGAAACAACACAACCCACTAACACATCTAGTCGTGATCGAGCTAACTGTAAATAAAGTAACGATTTTAACACGACACGATCTATTAAAATAACGAGTATAACACGAAGAGTTCGGTAAAAGCATGACAAATGCAATCCATTTGCCGGGGTCTAAACGATAACGCGATCAAGCGACACCATCGACGAATGTTCGTAAAGGAAAATATTGGGTTAAAGACAAAACCTTAAGTCAAGCGATAAGTATGAACTTCTTGCAAGTTGCAACCACTAACCAAACATACTTTTCGTATTTGACGCGTTCACGGTTTTGACGTGTACTTGTTGCTGCTGCTAATGCAACAGCCGTCAGCCAACCAATCCACAATCTTCAGTCAAACGAGGCCCACCACCAGTCATGTATTAGAAAAACATAAAATCCTCACCGTCCACCGATATCGTACATACACGTGTCACGACATAAACGAGTCAAGAAAACTCCACCACCAGATGAGACTGTCACTTTATTGTAACCCCAACCCAACGTGCTAAGAAAGCTACCGACGCAGCCGACTCGGACCGACCATATCGCCATGTCATCACCCACGGCGGCACCCGTGCAGCTTCCTACCTGCGCTCTCCGTCCGCCGCGTGTCCGCTCAACGGCTAGTTTTGCTTACCCTCCTTTTTTTTCAATTTTTTTTAACTGCCCAAAAGGATAAATTACAGGAACCCGAGATATTTTTCACAGAAAGTTCGAGTCGATTCCGCGAACCGCGTAGAATTTACCAGTTTTCGCTTTTTTCAAAAAATAATAAAAATATAATCTTTTCGCCCCCTGTATAAAATCCAAAAGCCTCCTGCTACTGGTGGAAAAATCGATTGTTCTGTTTCCATTCCGCAGCAAAAACACACAGAGGAGAGAGAAAGTCTAGAGAGAGAAAGAGATACTGTGAACAAGGCTCGAATCTAGGGTTTGATAAGACTTTTGTTTTTGGAGTTTGGGATTTTGAGATTACTGATTGGTTGGAGAAAATGGCGTTGGGAAAGAAGTGCAGGAGTTGCTTGACATCCAAGCGCGGCGCCGGCGGAGTGACGGCGGAGGCGGAGGGGACGATGGAGTTAGGGTTTGTGAAGTACACGCGAGCTTTGGGGAGGAAGAGGATTGGGATTTCTAACAATGGCGAGGGGGATTCGCCGGCTGATTTGTATCCCAAGACTCCATTGAAGAAGCAGCGGAGTGGGGAGATGGTTTGGGAGTCGGAAACTGCCGCCTCCTCCTCTCTAGAAGCTTTGCCTCAGGAGATTCTGGTTAGCCCCAAATTCTCAATTTTTTTCGATTGAAAAATCAATGCAGAATCGATTTCGATTTAATTCGTTGCTAATCATATTACTATTTTTGTGCTTTGCAGTTGAAGATTGTGTGTGGAGTCGATCACGATGATTTGAAGCAGCTTTTCCATGTATCGAAAGCAATTAGAGAAGTGGTGAGTTTAATCAGTTCAATTAACTTAGTAATTGATTTTTATTTGTTTTAGCAACTGGCATTGATTTTGATATTTCCTACTGTGCGATTGCAGACTCTGATTGCTAAGCAGTGGCATTTCGCTTACAGCACGCCTTCGAAAACCCCTGCTTTCCGAACCGCTATCGATTTCTCAGATTGCAACAGCTGCCTGGATGAGATTGAAGCTCCGAATGCTCCGAAACAGTGGAGGCAGATGCACAGGAAGTTGCCTAACGAGAAGAAGCTTGCTGGGTTGTCTGTGAACTTGTTTGCCTCGTGGGACGAGGAGGAGGAGGAGCAGGGGGCTCGAAAGGGGCTGTTCATGGAGGAAGACGATGAGTGAGTCTGCAAATATGCAATGTGGGTACTGTAAATACAAACTCATACTTGTGATTTCATAGTTTTCATCGATTAGGTAAGGATCGATAGCTGCAGAGTATGTGCATAACAGAGAAATATATTGTCGCAAGCAGTTTCTTCAAAGCCATCATTGAAGACCATAAACTTGCTTGTTCATCTCTTTTTGTACATGTTTTGGAGAGAGAGAGAGAGAGATTCCACTATTCACAAGTTGTTTGTTAAGGGCTAATCTTGTGCCCTTCCACTCGGATAATGAATGTAGAATGTGTATAACATTTGTGTTTTTTATGAAATGAAATCATGTTTTCATGTAATTCTTCTTTCTTATTTCATAAATGTTGGTTTTATTATGTAATTTCAACTTTCTTCGTAGTATCAGAGCAGGTGAAGCCAAACGGACACATATACTTCACGTTATTCTATTGTGTTGTCTAAGTATTAGACTCGAAAATTTGTTTTGCATGTTGAAAATAAGTTCCACATTGATAGAAGAATAGACCTTGTATGAGTTTTATAATAGAATTTTAACTTTCTTCAATAGTAACCGTAACTGAAGTATGGAAAACATAAACTTATTTACGTTTTTCATATTTATTTTATTTTTTAACCGTCAGATTGAACGTAACTATTAAAGTATGAATTTGATGACGACGGTATAATCAAATTTTGGGAATTGGCACGTCATCGGATGTTATTTAGAGCAATTGGTGGGAACTGGGAATTTACCATATCGGCTGTACGGGGTGTAAGTGGACATTGCCTAAATTTTAGCTGTTCTAATTAAATCATGGGACACTTTGGATGCGGTCCCTAGCTATCAATATTCTTTGATTGAAACCTTGTTAGTTTTTAGTTTTTGATTGAGGTCCCTGACATTAATATAATAATGTAAGTTACTATATTTTTAAATTAAAAATTAAAAATTGAAATTTGTAATTGTTTATATTAATGAGATTTTAAATAAAACCCATAATTTATGGGATTAAAAATAATAAAATATAAATTATACTCTCTATTATATTGTGTGTGTGTGTACATATATGTATGAGTACATTAACCAAAATTAACAAAAAAAGGTATTGTACCAAAACATGGATACATTCTCAAATCAACGAAAAAGAATGTACCCATATAAGTTTAAACATGGATTAAAAAATTTGAATGGATTTTATATTAAAAAAAGGGTACATTTTACATATAACAAATTGATATATTTGAGAATGGGTACATTTAAGATTTAAAAAATTGAAAAATTATATGAATGGGTACATTTAAGATTAAAAAATTGAGAATCTTTTTATATATATAAAAAAAACTAATAGGTACAAACTTAATTTAATTTAATTTTTTATTATTTTAGAAATGTTTGAATTGAAAATTAATTAGAAGTTTAATAGAGGTGTGAATATTAAACCCTAAATTAATTACTAATTTTTATATTAAAAATTATATAATAAACATGTAAATTCATTATCACATTAATGATAGGGACTTGAATCAAAATTTGAGAACTAATAAGGTCTTAGTCAATGAACAGTAAGAACTAGGGACCGAATACTAATTTTTCCTTAAATCATTCTTCCAATGAAAGTAAGGCTGGTTTGGTTCGAATGTCTTCGTAACGCTTTCCGATAAATATTTTGTTTTAATTGGCTGTGACTTGCATTTCCTTGGGAGCAGCCTCTCCATAAATGGGGGTAAGGCTAGCTGACATTCACCTCTCCCAGACCCTGCGTAAAGCGGGAGCCTTGTGTACTGGGTATGACCTTTGGCTGTGACTTGCATTTCCCTTTTAGGGTTCAAAAGCAAAGCATCCGAATACGGGCAAAAGAAGAAGGGAAGCTTGTAATACTGTATGTTAAAGTCTCGAAAGGTAGACTTGATTGAATAGGACATTAAAATAATTGAGTGCGTTGTAAGAAAATTTAAGTTGAGCAAGTGAGGTTAAATTAAACGGTGTCGCTCTGTTATTCAACTTTGTCACTTTGTTATTAAATTCTCATCTCAAATTTAAATGTAGCTTTAAAGTATGAATTTGATCAATAATGTTCTAAGCAATTTTGGGCTATAAATCAGGTGTTTGGGTTTACATGAGTGGGTACGGCGTCCATCTAAATCGAGTCAATAAATGATCAGGTTGATGGCAAATAGAGTAAGGATGGTTTTGACTCAACTCTAACCGGCTAATTGGGTTTTAAGTCGGGTTGATTGTAGACAAATTCGGGTCAATCCTTATGTAGTTGCTTGCTCCATGGAGTCTATACAAACATTTATTTTGTTTATATAGTTAAAGGAATAAAAGTACAATAGTAAGGGAAATTTTATTAGAACCCATGTAACTTTTTTTCTACATCTAACTTACTCTCTACACTCATATTATTTTTAATTAATGAATTAATCTCTCCTTAAACCTAAAATTATTACCTAAAATACCCTTCCATACCCAATTCAAAATGTTAATTTCTCTTTACACCCATGTATAAAACAAAATTTCAAACTAAGTAGTGTTGAACTTTGATTCATGTTGACTATAAAGTCTCTCGTAGTTTTCATGCAGATCCTTCTATTTTGAGGGGACTCCTTGAAGATTTGAGTTCAGGGCACACCAACTGACCATGATCATAGAAGGTTGTTGAGCCATTGACATAGAAGATGTGGCCCGTAACTTAGGTACATCTTCAAGGCTTTTGCTTATACTTTATATGTTGTTTATTTAATTTGAATGGGTTGAGAGTGAGATGTTGGTTCATCCAGCTCCTCCATCCTTGCGGGTTTTAGCCATCAATAATAAAAAACTTGTTTTTCTCTATAAGAGTTATTAGGGTTTTAGTTGGGATGAACGTGGAATAAATAAGGAGTGATGGTAACGTTTAATTATAGTGTGTGGGTTTATTGATAAGTTGTAGTTTTATTATTAATTTCATCTTGTACTTGATGGTAATTATGCAAGATGATAAAACAGACAATTAGCATTTAAAATTTAAATTAAGTGTAGAAAGAGGCTACATGGGTTTAATAAAATTTTCCTAATATTAATGAGCAGGGAGGAAGGGAGGGAAAAAAATAATTTAACTTCGAAATTCTTGTAGTGATAATATCCTTTACCATTATCACCTAAAAAGAAATATCGAACCAAGAAAAAAAAAACTAATTAAAAAAAACGAAAGAAGTCCGTGATACAAATACAAATGGAAGACCCATATATGCAGCCCATTTTACAAAGCCCAAAATTTAAAGTCGGTTTGAAATCTTAGGCCCAGCAAATTTCCACCGCCATTACAAATCATACATAACCATCTTCGTTTCGCGCGTTTTATCTCTCTCATATTATATATCCGTACCGTTTCTTTTCTGTACTCTCTCTAATGGCCTCAGCGAAACGCGAAGCTCCTCCCAGTGAAGACCAACCCCAGGAGGCCCTGAAGAAGGCCAGGGTCGCCGGCGATAACGTTTCGTCCTGCAACTCGTCTTCAGAACCCCTAAACCGGAAGCAGCGTGTAGCGCTCAATCGCGCCGACTGTGCCCTAGGTATTTTGAATTTGAATTTTCCTCTGTCGTTACCCTAAACCTAAAAATTTAATTGCTGCGATTGATGAATTGAATTGGTTTTTTTTTTCTTTTTTTCTTTTTGTGGTAAGATTTTGTAATCGAGGGCAATGAGCGTCGAGGATATGCACTTTGCGATCAGGGCTTTGCTTATTGCTGGTCCGGAGCTCGAGCGAATGTGGGGATTAATGGAGGGAAGTACTGTTTCGGCTGCAAGATCGTGTCTTATCAGTCGGTGGACATGGAGGATACTAAGCTTGATCAGCAGCATCTATGCCGACTCGGAATTTCGAGAGGGGATGATGCGGTTGGGAGCCTTGGGGAAACAGCTTTCGGCTTTGGGTATGGGGGCACTGGAAAATTCTCGTATCATAGCAAGTTTTCGGATTATGGTGAGAAGTTTGGTCTTGGCGATACCATAGCGTGTGCTGTCGATCTCGAGGATAAATCTCTTGCTTCCATTGGGTTCTATAAGAATGGGAAATGGTTGGGTCGAGCAACGTTTTTCGAGGTTAAGGTTTTGGGCGTTTCAGGGGTGGATACTGCTGCGGGGAAGATGGAATGGGAGTCGGGGTTTTTCCCTCACGTTTTGTTGAAAAATGTGGTGGTGGAGCTGCAGTTCAATGTTGAAGATGGACTTGTTGCTGAAGAGGGTTTTAAGCCTTGGGCATGTGCACTTGAGGATGGAAATGCAGTGATGGGACCTGCTTTTTCAGACCCGAGGGCTTGTGAAGTGGTTATGATGGTGGGTTTGCCTGCATCTGGAAAGACTACTTGGGCAGAGAAATGGGCGAAACAACATCCCGAGAAGCGTTATATTGTGCTTGGAACAAATTTAATTCTCGATCAAATGAAGGTGAGTGCGATTGTTTAATGTTCTTGTCTTATTTTGTTTTCGCCATTCTAGTGCACTCACTAGAGAGCTTCTAGCGGTGTTTGTTTTATCGACCAGTATTTAATTGCAGAGTGTGAAACTGTGTTCAGGTGCCAGGGCTTTTGCGCGAGAGCAATTATGGTGAACGATTTCATTTCCTGATGAATCGAGCAACGGATATTTTTAACGTCCTTTTATCCAGAGCAGCCACCACACCTCGCAATTACATAATTGATCAGACAAATGTATACAAGAGTGCTCGTAAACGTAAACTTAAGCCATTTGCTTTCTTCCGGAAGGTAAGCTACGTGTCCATGTAAATTTATATGGAAAGATTTGTATTCAGCTTACTTAACCATATGGGTAATTTTGTGTTTTAATTTTCTATTCCAGATTGCTGTTGTGGTGTTCCCAAGCCCCGAAGTGCTGAGTGTTCGTTCCGAGAAAAGAATGGAAGAAATGGGAAAGGAGCTCCCTGCTGAAGCAGTAAATAATATGTTAGGTAATGGATCCTCCACCATCTTTGTTCTTCTAATGTTTATCATGTTGTTGTATTTAAGAGGCGTGTTATATTTTTGGCAGCCAATTTTGTTTTACCTGTCAGCAAGGATATGCGTGGTTCAGATGAGTACTTCGACGAGGTAAATTACTGACAAACTGCACACTTTGATTGTACTATTTGTGTTGTGGCTAATTCTTGTTTTCTTCTGTAAGGCTATGTTTGTAGAACTCAACAGAGAAGAGTCACAGAGATATTTGGATGAGATGAAGCGGTCACTCGCAAGCATTGACTCTAATACGTATTCTGTTGGAAGCTCTGTTCCTACGTTCTCACCAAATTATGGGCAAAGTCTTGTGCTGCCAATTCCTCCGCCTGCACCTAGGATGACTGTGGTGCGGCCATATCCTATTGTTTCGCCTTCTCCAAGGGCTGTTAACCCTTCTGGAACTTATTCTGGCTACTCGGGCAGTTACAGTGGTGTTCCTAGGGGAGGTACAGATCATTACCAGAGTTATGGACGACCAGGTGCTCCCACTAACCCCTACGGTAGTAGTACCAGTGGAGCTTATCCAGTAGGCAGTGCAACAACTTCTTTCACAGGCAATGCCTACGGACATCTTGGTGGTGCTGGAGATCCCAGAAGTGCTGCTCCCTGGGCTCCAATAGCACCCACATTTCTTCCCAATCCTTCCCCACCTGCACATGGAGGTAACTTCATTGTAAATTATCGTTACGTGTATCTTTAGATGCTTTATACTATGCTCATTGTGTGATTGGCTGTGATTCAGGCTTACCATATGGAACTCCAGCTCCTGGTCCTCAGTACGGACATCTTCCTCCTGTTAACACTCCATATCATGGAGGCCATTACCCTCCTACGCCGGGGTACTACCACTGACTGCTATAAAGACTTGACGGTCATCATCTTGACGCCTTAGGCTACCCCTCCGGACAGACTATTCACGAAACAGGAAGAACTAGAAGGTAGATTGGGTTTCATACTTTCATGAACTGCTGCTTCTTGCAAAGCATGATAGCTTATAAGATTTTGAGGGAGGGAGGGAGATAGGTAGTTGTATATTTTCAACTCAAGGTTGTATATGACTCTGACTGCATTTTGGTTCTTTCATCAACAATTAACGTAAAATCGCGTTATGATACCATAATGATGCTTAAGTAAAATTAAGTCGTGCACGGCACTGCTTGCAGAAGTGCTAAAAGCACTTTGTGACAACCAAAAAGTTTTTGTGAGTGGCGTGGTTAATAAGAATCGCCAAAAGCTGATGAGGTTGTTTTGGTCTTGAAATTGAAGGGTCCCAAACCATGTGATGAGGCCCGTTTCATTTGGATTTCAACCTTTGAATTGGTCGTGTTATATTCGTTGTCTGCCACAACCAGAAGCAGCTCCAATGTCGTTTCATTTTCCTATCGAGCTAGCTAGAAGTGATCGATATTGAAAAGAACACACAAGCATCCAAAAGCTTGGTTTAGAGTTTAGAATTTAGATAGGTGTGCAAATTGGATTGAAATTTTGATTTCACCCTGTTATGATCCGGTAATTTTCGACTTTGGAACGCCTGAAATTCTAAAATCCAAATTTTTTAAAAGTGTTGAAAAATTGGAAGCTACTTGGAAATTCCGAAGTAAAATTTCGAAATGCATCGGGTTTCCAATCTTGAAGCACACAGAATGACTAAGAGAAAGAATTATTGCTTTGGGTTAAAGAACTCAAGAACAAAGCAATACTCAATGCAAGTGGTGGACTGTGTTTCGAATTCAAATATTCATCTTCTTTAAAATATCGTTTATAATGTAAAAAAAGAACCATTGAATTTTCAAGCGTGAACTACATAAGCATCTCTCATATATTGTTTCACTCAATTATATCATGTATCTCCATTAATCCCCCATACATGCATACAATATCAGAGCGGAGCATCCTTTGGTTGGAGAGGTTCTTCAGTGTGCTCAGAATGCAGATTGATACACCACATGTTATTATATAATTCGAGAAATTTTTTTTTCCAAGTATTCTTTTAATTGTATAATGACACTAATTCCAAGTATTTTTTTTTTCAAGCGTGATATTCCGTCAGATATCTGGACACTAAAAACTCTCTTGATTGGTTGATATTTAATGTCGTTTCGCTTCCAATCACAACGCCTGCATTATTTTCTTCCAAGTCAAGTTAGGATTTAGTGGTTGACAAGTTTCAGGTCAAATCAAACCTGGATATTGCAGAACACGAAAAAAGAAGTCTCCATTCTCTCTTCTGTCTTTTCCAATTAGCCTTTGCAGCACTATAAAAATTTTAGGTACACTTTTACTTTACCAGCAGTTGCACATGCATGCTAACCAAAGTGGATTCCCATTACCATACCACTTTAACGTCTTTTTCAGTATGTCGGAAACACGGTCAACCAAGTGTTACCATACAATTAGTTGAAAATTATTTTTCCTTAAGTTTTCCAACCAATTGTATTTATTACACAATCTCCACTCATTGGCAATGTGTTAACTCTCACATATTTATGTGAACGAGAGTCGGGATTCTTAGGCCCGTTGTTACTCTTTAGCACATTGTTTAAGTGGTCGGGTGTTAAATAAGTCTACATTTCAGAACGCGAGTCAAACATTCTTAGGTCCATGGTCACTCTTTAGCTCATTTGTAGAGCGATCGGTTTGTTAACTAACTCCGTATTGCGAAAAAAGTTACCGCACTCTTCAGTTGGAGAGAGAGCAGGACGATTGTTTTGAAACACCAATTATAGTTTCCTTTACGAAATTTATGGTACTTTGGTTTCCAATCATAGCAGTGCAATATAAGTTGCTTAGCCTTTATGGCATCTAACGAACACCCCCTTTGATTTAAACTTTAAGGCCAAGAAAGCGACATGCAATGCCATTTGGCCATAACTTGAGGATGGCATTGAATCGGTTTCCTATCTTTCAAAGCACTGTCATTAGTTTCAAGGCACATCACATCCCCATTACTCGTCATTAGTATTTAGACGATATGATTGATATTTTATGAACTTTGAATACAGCGTTGAATAAAATAACGACACTTGTTATTGTATCAGTAAATTCATCATATTATTTTGTAATGTAAAAGTGATACGACGGAAATACAATTATAGTTAAAATGGAAAAGCACTATTTTGATGTATCGGATGATTGGTGGTGACCTTCTGAACTGATTAAGTGAATGTGACATATTAAATTCATGAATGCAAATCATTATATACATCTTTTAAGGTTGATCGCTAACCCTAGATTTTATGGGATAAAGGTCACCTTGGTAAATGCATATCAAGCTACCACTTACATGTTAGAGTGACACTTCATCTCCTATGGGAAAGATTTTTTAATGTACCAGAAACACGATTCGGTATACTAAGTATTATAATACAAGTGGTAAATGCATATCAAGGTACCACTTACATGTTAGAATGACCTTGAATATCATCTTTTGTTGTTGACATGAGCTTCACTTTCGACTGAAATTATGTTTTAGCTTTTTGACGTATTCGAAAAGAAAAACGTTATATTTTACTCCAACATAACATTTGAATCCAAACTTTGTAGTGAATTAAAATCGACATAATGCAAGACTTCTATCTATGATATATGAAACTCTCAACATTAACTTCCTCCTATTCACATTCCTTTCCCAAACAGTAATGCTAGATAGGCCAATTATTTAGATCAAATTCGCAAACCATATGGTGTATCACCAATAGAAAATAAACATGTTAATCAACACTTAAATAGTAAATCCGATCATGAACAACCACGACATAATTTACGAAATTTAATTTAAATAGTTGGTCTCTCTAGCGTTACACATTCCAGGTAAAAAAAAAAAAAATCTAAAACTCTAAAACCCCACAACCCAATCCTCTTCCAAAGCCGACACTCTCAATCCATCTCTCCTCCTCCTCCGTCAGTCTTTTTTATCTTCTTCCACCTCCAATGGAATTTGTTTTTGCTTTCTCTTGATAAAGAAAGACCACTTATTTTCATGGAAGAAAATGCGAGTCACATCGTCTGGGAATCCAATTCCAAAACTTCCATTCCAAACTTACTACTTTCCGAAACCATGACCACCTTTTGTGCTTCAATTTCCTCAAGCCCTCTGTTTTCCAGCATTGTCGCTCTCTGCGCTCTGATCCTCCTCTACTTCCCCAACCATTTCCTCCAAATCATTTTTTCGCCGGTCCTGATCATCACCGGATTCCTCATCCTCTCGATTCTCCGCCTCGGCGCAGTTCAGAGAATCGAAACGGAAGGCGATGAGCTAAAAGAAAAGGAAACCAGTCGCTCTCTGCTCGAAAGCGAAGAAAACAGGGGAAACTGCAATGGAATCCAAGAAAAAATCCCAAGTTTGGAAGAGGACCAAGATCAAAGATTTTTAGACTACCAATCTGAAACAGACTCCGAAAGTGAAGCGGGTTTCGACCCGAAGCCGTGCTTCGAAGACTTGTTCGTCGAGTGGAACGTGAAGGCGCCACTGGAGGTCATTTATGAAGAGTACGAAGGTGAAGAAGATGAGGTGGATCCGAATGGAAACGATCCGGACTCAAATCGAAAGGAGGGAAACCAAGTTCTGAGTCTCGAGAAGCACCCTTCGTTGTCGCTGTGTTACCCGGAGTCGGACTCGGATAGCTCGTCGGATTGTGGGTTTTCGGTACCCGGAGCGTGGGACTCGCCGGATGCGATGTGTTTCCGGTGGGAGGATGATAGAGAAGGGCTTATAGAGATTGCTCTGGACAGCAATTCAAAGAGAGGCGAATTGGATTTTCGGTTTGATCACGATCACGATGAAGAGAATTTGATAGAGATTGATATATCTCCGACGAGAAAACAATGAATTTTGCGACGAGAAATGGCAGTTTGACGGCGAACTTAGGTTCAGCTAGTGTTGGATTGGTAATGAGATTAATATTAATACAAGATGGATATGTTTTTTGTTCAAAAAAAAAAAAAGATGGATTATGTTTTCTTGTTTTATGCACAGTAATCAACATCAAATTAATTTAAGGGCTTTTAGTCAGGAAGATTCATGAGATTGACGTAACTATTATTTTAATCTTAATTAACTTTGTCTAACGTAAAATATTTTAGTTTTTTCATGAAAAGTATGTCGTTCACTCGTTAAGTACATGGGTTGGTTTAAAAAAATACCCTTAAAATGGTAGTCATGTAGTAGTTGATGTGGTAGTTTAAAAATGACGTTCACATATTTTTCGCGAAATGACTAAAATAATTTACGGTAGATAAATTAAAAAATCACTTATATCATTGTCACTTAATACTATGGTCTAGTGGTACATTATTGATAACCCATTGCGAAGCTAAGTTTATCCATTTTTCACTTTGTGTAGATAATATTGTGTTAAAAATAAAAAAATAAAAGGAAAATTTGAGCATATCGTTTTAGTTAATTTAACTAAGTTCATATCCGTAGGATTTATTTATTTATTATTTTTTTTTTTTGTGAATTGGAGTGTTTTGAGATGTTAGTTGGGAGAAAAATTTGTGTGGGGCTTTAATTGCCATTGGAATTTACTGAGTGACACTACAATCCAATGATGTATATTTTTTCTTCCCCCCCCCCCCCTTTTTTTCTTCCTAAGTTTTCCCTATGGTACATTTATGTTTTGCCGTCGGAGTCTTCAGTTTCTTCTCTCTCCCACTTATGCCATCATGTTAAAAATGGATAATCCACCAAAATAAAGTGAAGGATAACCAATAAATTGTGGAAATATCAACTCGATAGTATGGAGTGAGTCTGCAAGATTGTATTTAAAGTTTGCTATAAAATATTCTAATCCTTTATAGGAGAAACATAAATACGCAAATTGCAACTCAGAGATATATAAAACAGGGACGAGCTGTTGGGCAATGAAATTGTGCTCATACTTGAAAAATAATAATAAACAGCTTTTGTAAATTAAAAAACAAAAGAAAAAGAAAAGGAAAGAAGTATGTGTTTGGATTTTCTTTTTTTTTTCCTCTTTTCATTTCATGGTAGTTGGAGAAAATGACTTTGTTTTTGCCCCATATTCTTTTGAAGAAAGGAAATAAAGAGGGGAAAGAAGACTGCACACGGCAGAGAAAACTAAGGAAGAA